ACTGTTTAATGAGAAACTATTTGTTCTGCAAACCTTCATCTAAGGTACACAAAAAAGAATTACTTATGTGAGATCAAATTGACGATAGCAACTCAAAAGGTTTGATGGGAAGCCTAGGGGACAGTGAGTTGAAGATAACGGTGATGGAATAATTTGGAAAAGGATAGTGAGAATAGCAGCACAACTGGAAGAATGTAATCAATGTCAATGAATTGTACATGTAGAAACTTTTGAAATGCTGTAACTTTGGCTATGTATATTTTCACCAAAAAATAGGTCCTCATGGTCGATAAGGGAGACTGTTGACATGTCATGGGGTTGTTAACCAATGTCATAAAACAATATGTGTACTGACAGTTTAATGAGAAACTATTTGTTTTGTAAACCTTCATCTAAAGTACAATAAAAAAAATTTTTTAAAAATATATAAATGGGGGAAGATTTCACCCTCAAAGCCCTCACTTTGGAGCTTCCCTCACTTTTTCTTCTTCCACCGAGTGTGGTCCTTGCAATCTATCACACACAGTTGCTTTACATTGACAATTAAACTTCAGTACATTGAGTGGGAATTAGGTGGTGTCAGTAGTTGAGGTGAATCTCACATCAACTCCTGTTACCCAGTTTATATAAAGACAATTTAAAGCATCAGCATGGGGATCATGGAAATGCTGGGTGTCAGGTGCTGCAATCCCCTGGAACGGTTTTAGTCAATTTATTGATAAATATACATCGATCACTTCCTATGTACCTGACACTGGACTTGAACATAGAGGTGGACAAGGGCCCTGCCAGCAAGGAGCTCAGAGCTTAGTTAGGAAACAGTGGAAAAGCCCAGAGTGAGAACATGGGGCTGGATGCACATGGGCTAGAAGTTCTGCTTGATCAAGTCCTGACACTGAAAAATGTGCTAATGATGAGGAAGACAAGCCATGTGCCCTGATCACAATGTTTGGATACCTTCTGTTTGCCTTTTTCTGATGGAGATTTTCCCCTTGATATTTTGATTCCTTAGAGGAACTCCTGGAAACTCCATCTACCTCTTCATGCCCACTGCCTGACCAGAACCACTCTGTGCCCAAGAAGACCTCCCGGTTTGCTCAGCGTAAGTATGTGGTTTGCTTAAAACTTGGCTTTTGGCCTGCTGCAGAGAGTGGTACTTTTGCATGGAGGGCAGGCTGCGTCCACCTCCCTGTGGCTAGGCCCACTCCGTGGCTTACTGCCTCCAGATCTACTTCCCCCAGCCCAGGTCCCTCCACATGGGGAGCTGACGATAAAGGTAAAGCACATTGAGAACTCCCACATTCCAAACTATGCCACATCCATGAGCCCAGGCAACCTTTGGGCAGCCATGCTGGGGTTACTGCTTATAGCCAACTGTCTATTTTCCAGCATGCTTAGCTACTTCTGCTCTCCCAGTATGGATTAGACCTTAAGAGCATGGATCCTGGAGCTAGACTGCTTGTGCTTGAATCCCAGCTCCTCTGTTCACTAGCTGCGTGATCTTGGACAAGTAACTTAATCTTTTAGTGCCTCAGTTCTGGCACTGTAAGATGAAGATAATAATAGTGCCTCCTTTGTGGGATTGTCATACGGGTTGAATGAGTGAATGTATGTAAAGTGCCTAGAGTAGTTATTGCTAGGGTGTTGTTGTTATTAGCTGCTGTCAAGTTGGCCCCCAACTCATGGTAACCCCGTGCACAGTGGGATTGGACCATTGTGATCCATAGAGTTTTCACTGGCTGATTTTTCAGAATTAGATCTCTAGGCCTTTCTTCCTAGTCTGTCTTAGTCTGGAAGCTCCACTGAAACCTGTTTAGCATCATAGCAACACTCAAGTCTCCACGGACAGATAGGTGTTGGCTTTGCATAAGATACAATGGCCAGAAATAGAACCTAGGTTTCCCATATGGAAGGCAAGAATTCTACCACTGAACCACCAATGCACCCCATTCAATAGGAGATAGTGTGAAATATGTAAAATGAACATGATGTGGTTCTTCACCTGGAAACTTAAGTTTAATTGGAAAGTTGTAAACAACCGTAGACGTAAATCACCACTACAGGTAGAAGGTGGTAAGTATCATAAGAGAAGAAGAGGTAAAGCACTAGCGTTGTTGAGAAAAGCAAGAAATGACTTTTCACTGGGTGAGATTCAGAGAGGGCTTCCTGGAAGAGGGCTAGTGGGTAGGTAGAAATCAAGATGGGAAAGGGGCTTTGTTAATAGAACAACAGAGGGGTATATATAAAAACTGCAAGTTGATGTACTGATTTTAATGCCAGTCTAAGTAAAGCATTATCACACCCAAAGATACAAAGCTGATTTTTGCTGTCTGAGGACCTCTTAGCATGGGTTCTTGTTTTTTTCCCCAGGGGCCATCAGTCCAACCTTTGACCTGAGGAGCCTCTCCTGTAGCCTGGAGGTGTCCGAGGATCACCGGACAGTGACTGTGTCTCACTGGCCGCAGTCCTATCCTTGGAGTCATGAGAGGTTTAAGGCCTGCCAGGTCTTATGTTCCCAGGCCTTCTCTTCTGGGCAGCAGTACTGGGAAGTGGACACTCAGCATTGTAGCCACTGGGCAGTTGGGGTAGCTTCCTGGGAAATGAGCCGTGACCAGATCCTGGGACGGACCAGGGACTCCTGGTGTGTAGAGTGGACGGGGACTAGTCGGCTCTCTGCATGGCACATGGCGAAAGAACTTGTCCTCAGCTCAGACAGACCTGGGGTTGTGGGCATCTGGCTGGACCTGGAGGCAAAGAAGCTTGCCTTCTATGCAGTGGCTAATCAGGAGAAGTTTCTGTATGAATGTGAGGTCTCTGCTTCCTATCCTCTGCACCCCGCCTTCTGGCTGTATGGCTTACATCCTGGAAACTCGCTGATTATAAAGTAAGTAAAGACATAAAGGCCCCTTCAGTGCTAAAACACAGTAGTTTCCTGGTCTCTCTTCTTGCCTTCAAGCAGGCAGTCTGACTCAAGAATCCCACTTCTGAAGTTAAGGGACATGTATTAGTTATCAATTGTTGCATAACAACATTACCACGAATTTATCAGTTTAAGACAACACACATTTATTATCTCACAGGGATTAAATTAGGAGTAAGGGCACAGTTTAGCTGAGTTCTCTGCTTCAGAGTCTCGCAAGCCACAGTCAAGGTGTCACCTGGGGCTGCAGTCTCATCTGAGGCTTGACTGGGGAAGGATCTGCTTTCAAGCTCACATGGTTATTGGTGGCATTCAGTGCCTGTGGGTTGTGAGACGGAGGGGTTCAGTTTCTTGCTGGCTGTTGGCTGGAGGCTGCCCTCAGTTCCTTACCACATTTTGCAACATGACTGCTTTGCTTTCTGAAAGCCAGCAAGGGAGAGAGAATCTCCTAGCAAGATGGACATTACAAACTTATATAACATGATCCTGTGCAAGTAATTACATGTGTCCTGTTGCCTTTGCCATATTCTATTAGTTCAAAGCAAGTCACAGGCCCTGCCCATACTCAAGTGAAGGAGATTACACAAGGGTGTGAATATCAGGAGGTGCACTCAGGGGGGCCACATTAGGGTCTGTCTGCCTCAGGGCATCATTTCATACTTAATTCCCCCTGTTTTTAAAATCATTTTAATGTATAAGAAAACAGATAAAGGAAACAACACAGAACACATGTCCAGCTTAACGAATTATTACAAGGTGAACACCTCTGTCACTACTGCTCAGGTCATGAAATAAAACACTGCTGCTAACTACAGAAGGCCTTTCATGTGCCTTGTCCCAATCACAAAACCTTCCCTCTGACCGGAAGGAATCACTATCCTGACTTTTACAGAAATCGCCTCCTCACATTTCTTGTTTCATCACCCAAATATGCATTCCTGGCCCCAGTAGTTTACCACCCAAACAAGTTGTTGAGTCAGTTCCAACTCATGGCGATCCTACATGTGTCACAGTAGAACTGTGCTCCATTGGATTTTCAGTGGCTGATTTTTTGGAAGTAGATCATCAGGCCTTTCTTCCAGTGTACCTCTGGGAAGACTTGAACCTCTAATCTTTTGGTTAGCAGCCAAGCATGTTAACCATTTGCCTTAGTCTTACCCATTTTAAAAAAAAAAAAGATAAGTCTTTTTTTAATAGCTTTGTTGAGATATAATTTACATGCAATAAAATTCACCCATTTAAAGTATACAATTCAGTGTTTTTTAGTATATTTATAGAGTTGTGCAATCGTCGCTATAATCTAATTTTAGAACATTTTTATCACTCCAAAAATAAACCTTGTGCCCATTAATGGTTGATAAATCTTTGAAGTCTTTTCATCTACAGCCCCCTCCATCCCCTTCTTTTCCTTACAGTTTATCTATAGAAGAACCCCAGGCTGGATTAGCACCTGTTTTTTTATTTTTATTGTTTAATTAAAACAGTATTTTACTGTGTTTTCAGTGAAAGTCTACACAGCAAATTAGCTTCCCATTTAACAATCACCACAAAAATTGTTCAGTTGCATTGGTTATGCTTTTCAAAATGTGTCAACATTCTCATTCATTCTATTTTGGATGTTCTGCTTCCAGTAATCTAGTTTCGCTCACCCCTTACCCTTCCATCTTCCCTTTGGAGTAATTATTGACCCTTTACTCTCATGTAGATGATTTTTTAAAGGCGTGCAGTACTCACAGGTGATATTGTTTACTTTATGAGCTAATCGGTTATTTCATTTTACTTGGACCCACAATCAACACCCATGGAAGCAGCAGTCAAGAAACCAAGTGACATATTGCATCGGGTAAGTCTGCTGCAAAAGACCTCTTTAAAGTGTTGGAAAGATGTCACATTAAGGACTAAGGTACACCTGACCCAAGCCGTGGTATTTTCAATCACCTAATATGCATGCGAAAGCAGGACAATGAATAAGGAAGACCAAAGAATAATTGATGCTTCTGAATTATGGTGTTGGTGAAGAATATTGAATATACCATGGATTGCCAGAAGAACGAACAAGTCTGTCTTGGAAGAAGTACAGCCAGAATGCTCCTTAGAAGCAAGGATGGCAAGACTTTGGCTCATGTACTTTGGAAATGTTATCAAGAGGGACCAGTCCCAGGAGAAGGACATCATGCTTGGCAAAGTAGAGCGTCATCGAAAAAGAGGAAGACCCTTGAGGAGATGAATTGACACAGTGGCTGTAACAATGGGCTTAAGCATAACAATTGTGAGGATGGTGTAGGACCAGGTAGTATTTCGTTCTTCTGTACTTGCGCTTGCTATGAGTTGGAACCAACTCGAAGGCACCTAACAACAACAACAACAATCTCTTATTTAGGTAAAAGGTGACCTCGGGATAGTTTCAGTTCAAGGTTTAAAGAGTATCTTAGGGTGAGAGTCTTGGGGACGCCTCTAGTCTCAACTGGTCCAGTAAGTCTGGACTTTTTAAGAATGTGAGTTCTGTTCATGTTTTTCCCCCATTCTATCAGGCTCCATCTGTTGTGGCCTTGATCAGAATGGTTGTTAGTGGTAGCTGGGCACCATCTAGTTCTTCTGGTCTCATGTAGATGAGGTTGTGGTTCATGTAGACTATTAGTCCTGTAGACTAGTTTCTTCTCTGAGTCTTTGGTTTCTTCTTTCTCTTTTGCGCACAATGAGTAAAGATCAATAGTTGTGTTAAAAGCTGCTCTCAAGGTTTTAAGACCCTAGACACCACTCAGCAAATTAGGATGTAGAACATAAACTTTATGAACTATATTATGCCAGTTGGCTAACTTACCTCATGAGACTATGGTCCTAAACCTTCAAGCCCAGAAAACCAATCTCACGAGGTATTTGGTTATATCTAAGAAGTATCCGTAACTGTGCCCCCTACGTGGTTTCTTATGTATATGGATGTACGTGCATGCACACACAGACATGTATATACACATACAAATAGGTACATCTATATGTGTGTATATATACACACACATACATAGCCATACTCATATGTGTATATGTACATATATAACAACCACACACATATTTTTTGGTTGGTATTGGTGTTGTTGCAACATTATATATGTCATATCTGTTATCAAAAGCACCCTTTTCTCTTGTGTGCTTCTTACTGCTTACATTTACCTTGGTCCAGCTGTGCGCTCTTCACCCACATTCAGTGCTACCTTTCCCATCACCAAAAATAATAAATAAATAACAGGCATCTATTATATAGAGAGTGATTCCCCCTCTTCCCCCAACCCATCCCTCATAACCACGAATGAACACTGGTTTCTGTTTGTATACCTGTTCTTGTATTCTTATAAAAGTGAGATGATACAATATTTGTCATTTTGTGATTGAATTATTTCACTCAGTATATATCCTCCAGATTCATCCATGTTATAATATGTTTCAAGAACTCATCATTATTCTTCATGGCTGCATAGTATTCTACTATATGTATGTACCACATTTTGTTTATCCATTCATCTGTTGATGGGCACTTAGGTTGTTTCCATGTTTTAGCTGTTGTGAATAGTGCTGCAGTAAACAGGTGTTCATAAATACCTGTTTTGAAGGTGTAGAAATTCCACTCTGTTAGATTGGATTGAGCAGAAGTCTTGTCACACAAACTGGTCTGGCAAACTTTGACAGTGCATTTAACCTCTCTTTGTTTTTCGTTCTCCTGTAAATGGAGATAATTATACTTGCTCTCCCTTACCTTCCTTACAGGGTTGCTGAATGAATTAAATAAAGTAATAGGTGAAAAAATTGGAAAATGCAAGAGTGATTTAAATTCAGCAACAGTGACAACTATATTCTATTATTACCACCTTGACTTCTAACATATTAAGACTTACATCCTATTTCCATACGTATCCTTGAAAACAGACGTGAGCAGACTCCTTCCGTATAATCTGCTAATTTGCTTTCTGAGCCTCACGAACACACTATGTGATGGACAATATTATTTTACTGTTAACATACAAGCACAAGGAGGTTTAGTGGTTTGTCCGGGTCAATCAGCTGGTCATGGCAGAGCTGGGACCAGAGCCAGGTTTCACACTCTAAAGTCTTTAACATTCTTAATAACCTCTGATAAGGTCCTGTGTGAGACCAGGAACATGGCCTTCCACTTTGAAAGGACACAGCTAGCCCCGGTGTCAGGAGGTGCTCTTTTGTGCTGGCTGTTGGTCGTGACAGACTTCAGTTCGTGTAGTGGCCTTGGGTTGTGTAAGCAGGAACAAGCCTCTCTCTTGGTGCCAGATAACCTTTAAAAGGCTCTATGTCCTCACTCTCTCATTACGGAGCTGGCATCTTCTCACCCAGAGTCACCTTGATATTTGCCTTTTGTGCCGAGATTCAGAATTCAGGGGCCAGGGTTTTAGCCTCTTGAGGTCTTTTGGTTAAATAGGTGGTTTAACTTCTTGGGTGGTTTGGATAAAGAGGCCTCCCTGAGCATGGGGTTTATGTGTTGGCCACATGATTTCATCAAGCTGGTGCCAAAGCGCAAGAATCACGAAGGCAGTGAACGAAAGTCTGTCACTTTTTCATTCCTTTGCTTTTGCCTCCGGAGTTTTCTGTCAGTATATCCCTTCCAATGCACTGTAGAAAATGGTGCCCTTCCCTCAAACAAACACAGAATCCTCCAAGGGACACACAGAGAAGAAGTGAAGCTGAAATGACAGTGGAGGAAGAGCCTCTCACTTGGGTCTGTGCTGTGTGGGTAAGGAAATCCACCCTGTGCCCAAGCAAAACATGAGTATCCACCCACAGATCAAACCAGAAAGACTTCCCATGGGGATGCATAGGCTCACAGGGATAGCACCAGATACTCCCTGGGCAGCTTCTTACCCTATCTGGAGATGTGCCTCTCATAGACATAAGTTTTCTTTCAGGCCTTGTCTCTAAAATTAAGTGCTTGCTTTCCTGGAAGCTGGGGAGAAGGGAGTAGCCTTGTCGGTGACGCAGACTGCCTCTGTTTTCTGTCTCTCTGTCTGTCTTCTCTTCCATTTCACTCACTTGCATACTTACCTGCTGGTGAGGTGGCTACTGGAAGGCATTGTTGCACCCATTGTTGGGGTCCAGAGCTTTGGATCTCTGGAAGAACCACCCGCAAGCAGGAAGCCACCACTTTGCTAGGCTTGCAGCAGCCTCTAATACAGTTGTATCTATCTGTTCCTTGCTTCTTTTCCCTCAAATACATGTTTTTCTGGAAATGTTTAATTTTAAAGACTTTATTCTCTAGGTGATTTCAAAAACAAATCACAAAATCAAACAATGCTGCTCTCTGAGGAGATTTCTCAGGCCCTCTTGCTCTGGTTGAGGGAGAAGCCTCTTCTCCAAGAGGAGTTGGGGCTTTTCCCTCACTCCTGCCTCAGCTTTCAGCCCCAGACCCAAAATTCATCTTCTTCCATGATTGTTTAAAATCCGAATGACCGCATGATTGTTTGATGCTTCCCACAGGACTGGCAGTCTTTTTCTTTAATCATATTTAAGCTATGTTGAAGATTTGTTTGGATTTGGGATTTAGCTTTCCAACCATCCACAGGTTTTTCTAGGACAGTATCCCAAGTTTCAACCTTTCACGTGTACCCCCTCGTGATTCTTGCTGCATCTGCCTGTCTTCTGTACCATTTTTACCTAATATTTTTTCCTAACCCAACTTACATTTTTCCTCAAGTAAATTTATTTCAAAAGGAAACTATATATCACTTACATAAATGAACCAGAATCATGTGTCTTGAATAGAGAAAGGCGTGACCCTAAACATTTGTTTCAAGGAAAACAAAACAATGTGACTAACTTGATATTGTTGTCTGTCTAAGGCTCTCAACCTGAGGCTTGCTCAGAATCTCAGTCTCTCTCCCTTCCTCTCTCTCTTTTTTCCTTCCTTTCTCTCTCTGTCTCCCTCTCCCTCTCTCCCAAAAGGAGATTATCAGCTGTTAAAGATTTACTGAGGCTTTCATTTTGATTTAGTCAGCATTGAAAGATAATAGAAAGGGGGAATGCTTTCTGGCCACGAG